TTGAGCTCATAGAGATCTGCCTGCCTCTGCCTCCCAAGTGCTGGGATTAAAAGCGTGCGCCACCATGCCTGGCAAATTTATGTTTTTAAAGATTCTCTGAAGGTATGGCAAAATACAGCTGTTCTTTGCTTGGCAAACATAGGCCTGTTCTTTAGCTGCATGATGCATAGATCTTGAATTTCACAGTCTTTGGTCCTAGGCATTTTGGCTGGTGACTGCTCAAGCCCATTATGGACTGTAGGCTTTTACTGTAATAAACATTTATAAGAAGAACAGTGAAGACTGGAAATCAGTCATTTCACTAAAACCTGAAGGAAATGAAAAGTCGTTTTTCCTTTAATCTCCTGGTAGATGGGGTCCCCAGCTTCTCTTCCTTGACAGATATTGTGCAGTACTTTGTTGCTCCAATGGCCTCAGTACACAAATGGTCACATCTCCTGCCTCAGCTCTTCTATATAGGTCCTTCTGATACTCAACAGTAAGATCTTTGGTGCCAAGACAATGCTCCATAGACCACCCAGCATCAGGCTTATACCATTTGGAACAGCCATCACATACATTTTTCCAGTTACTAATGTAGAAAGGAACACAGGACAGACATGAGAACTACTGCTGATCAGGCAGAAGTTCAGGCTTCTGGATATATTTTAAGGTGATTCATTACTTTTGACGCATGTTTTAGGGAAACTGGTTCCCTGAATGGTAAATATGGATTTGGTCACTAGATGAGGGCTGAGATACCCTGTCCCACCATCATTCCGTGGTCCCATCATGCATGATTTACAGAGAAATTAGGATACTTGTTTGATCACCACTAGAAATACTATTTTTCATGACTGAGACCACAGCAATTTTAAAGATGGCTAAAAATAATTACATCTTAGAAAGTCTGATCATTTTCTTGTATTCTTGTCAGCACTGCAAATAAACTATTCACAAACTTTCTATCATGTTCAAAATTTAATTGATCAAATAACACAAGGATTGTTACATGAGGAGACACAGTTTCCTTAGGATTTAAAGTAGTTTTGATTTTTCAATATAATACCTATTGGCATTTCAAGAAATAAAACCATTTTCTTGAGTTCGTCTCTAGAAACTGATTCCTTTAAATAAAAAGAATATCATTTTTTTTCAAAGACACTACATACTATATTGGAGAAGTGTATAATTTTAGGACTCATTAGTTTTTTTTTTAAAAAAAGATTTACTTATTTTTATTTTATGTGTATGAGTGTTTTGTCTACATATAAATATATGCACATGTGTGCAGTGCCTGCAGAGGCCAGAAGGGGGCATCAGAGTCCCTGGAACTAGAGCTACAGGCAGTGGGTGCTATGAACCAAACCCTGGTCCTCTTTGAGAGCAGCCAGTGCTCTTAATTGCTGAGCCATTTCTCCAGTCCTGTCACTAGGGTATATTAATGTTCACTTCATTATACATTATGAAGCCACTTGTATCTTAACTGCAGTGTGGTGACAGAGAACATCTAAAAGCCTACATACAACTGAGCAAATGCATAAAAATAGAAGCTAGGTGTGGTGTCTCATGTCTATAATCCCAGCACTTGGGGGCTGAGGCAGGAGGACTGCCACAGTCTGAGGCAAGCCAACCGAGACCCTCAACCACAAACCAATGGTAGTGAACATCAAGTATAAATTTTCCATTTCATCAATGCCAGCCAACACTATGGAAGGATTTTTGGTAAA